TTATGCACAAACCTTATATGCATATACACATGCGCATGCACGTACATACTAACATGAATACGCACATGCAGACGTGTACACGAAGATGAGGGTGGGGAGAGGAAGGAGGGGAAATGAAGATGAAAGAGAGATGAAGGAGAACTTGAGAGAGAGAGAGAGAGAGAGAGAGAGAGAGAGAGAGAGAGGGAGAGGGATGAGAGAGAGAGAGAGGGAGAGAGAGAGAGAGAGAGAGAGAGAGAGAGAGAGAGAGAGAGAGAGAGAGAGAGAGAGAGAGAGAGAGAGAGAGAGAGAGAGAGAGAGAGAGAGAGAGAGAGAGAGGAGAGAGATAGATAGATGATAGAGAGAGAGAGAGATGATGAGAGAGAGAGAGATGATAGAGAGAGAGAGAGATGATAAGAGAGAGAGAGAGAGAGAGCGAAGAGAGAGAGAGAGAAGAGCGAGTTTTATGCAACTGTGTATGAAAACAGCCCGTGGTGTTTATGCTTGTTAGGGCGCCTGTTATCATAAGAAACAGCCGGTGTTTATACAGGCCCCGTCTCAAATGTTCTTCGTCCGTTACAGGAAAAACAAACAAACACAAAGAAAAGGGAAACACGCCGACCCAAGCGGTTGTCCAGCACTCGACCTGGCCGTTGCGTCTGGTCGTGTTGGTCCGATCATTTCATATTTGTGTTGTATCGTTATTTCCTGTTCTTGGGACTGGAGGCTCAGTCCTCTTCTCTTCTTTCTCTTTCTTCTTTCTCTTCTCTCTTTCTCTTTCTCTTTCTCTTTCTCTTTTCTCTTTTCTCTTTCTCTTTCTCTTTCTCTTTCTCTTTCTCTTTCTCTCTCTCTCTCTCTCTCTCTCTCTCTCTCTCTCTCTCTCTCTCTCTCTCTCTCTCTCTCTCTCTCTCTCTCTCTTCTCTCTCTCTCTCTCTCTCTCTCTCTCTCTCTCTCTCTCTCCTCTCTCTCTCTCTCTCTCTCTCTTCTCTCTCTCCTCTTATCGATAACTGTTGTTTTTATTTTGGCGCGACGAAAAAAAAATACAGCATAAGAAATTGCACAGACGAATACACAAACGCACCCTCTTCACACAGATACACAGCACAAATGCACAAACACTCAAAAAAGCACACAAATGCACAGAGAAGTACACACGCCGCAACACCACACACAAACACACAAAAGATAATGCACAAACGATAAAAACACACACAGCACACACACACACACACACACACACACACACACACACACACACACACAACACACACAACACACACACACACACACACACACACACAAAGCGCACACACCCACACACCGGAAGGGAGGCGCCCGTCTTTGCGGCGGGAGGCGGCCCGAGGAACCTTGTGTGGACGTGCCCCCCCACCGCCACTTACCTGCCGCGGCGAGCAATTAAGGACTACAGGTGCGCCGTCTTTAGACCGCCGGCGCCTCTCATTAAGGACACTCGGGAGCGCTACTGCCCTTGGTGACGTGTCCTTTGGCTGGGGGGGCTGGGGGCGGTGCTTGCGGGTTTCGTCTCTTAGGGAGAGATGGGGGGTTTGGGGGGGGGTGTATAGGCTGTGTTGAGAAGGGGAAACGTAGAGATATAGGCCTATCTTGATTGGGGTATGGGGTGGAGGGGTGTGAGCCTGTTTGACCTAGTGAGAGAGGAGGTCGGGTGAGGGAGCGAGTCCGTGGGTTGCGCTGTTAAATGCCAGTCAACTGCCTGACCTTGTGTAAGAATATCGACGCCCTTGCTGTGCACTGCCTTGTGATACTCGGGACGTGGTATTTGCGTGTACTTCGGGCGCGTGGGCGTGGGCGTGGGCGTGGGAGTGACGCAAGCGTGTCTTGTAAACCTGTAATCACATCATCTTAGGCCCGGAAGGTTGCTTATCCCCCCCCATCCCATCCCCCCAGTATCGCCCTACCATACCCCTACCCTCTCTCTTCCCTCTCCCTCCCCCCCCCATCGCCCAGCCATACCCCCTACCCTCTCATTACCCCCTCCCCCTCCCCCCCCCTCACGGTGAAATCCGGAGATGCTTTTTTCTCTTTCTCTCTCCTTTTTTTGTGGCGGTTTATCGGAGTTCTTCCTGCTTCCGCCATAGCAGCTCGCGGCAGGTTAAAGAGAGATATATATTCCAGTCTTGAACGGAATCTATTTTCGGCGATCGTAAAAAAATGCGCGAAGGATATTTATTGGCTATATATATATATGAGTGTTGTGTGTGTGCGTGTGCGTGTGCGTGTGCGTGTGCGTGTGTCTGTGTCTCTGTGTGTGTCTGTATGTGTCTGTGTGTGTCTGTATCTGTGTCTCTGTGTGTGTCTGTATCTGTGTCTGTGTGCTGTGTGCGTGTAGGCCTACTTATCAGCTGACCTGCTTACGTCTGAGATAATAGATTCTCTCCCAACTAGACGCGACAGGTTAATGACGGCCATTTTGGGAGGATGTCTGAGACGGCGTTCGACGGTCGCGAGGAACGGTAATGCGAACCGCACTTTCGTAAAGGCGAAGGCGCGCTCGCCGTCTGGAGGCGCTGCTGCGGCGAGCGGCGGGGCGAGGAGGAGATGGGGTAATTGGGGCTCTATGGATGGATATATATATATATATATTATATATATATATATATATTATATATATAATATATATATATGTATATATATATATGTTTATATATGTGTATGTGTAGAATATATATGTATATTATACATACATATACATTAACAATACATATACATATACATATACATATACTATACATATACATATACATATATATATATATATATATATATATATATATATATATATATATATATGTATATGTATATGTATATGTATATATACACACAAATACATATTACATATACATACATACTATACATGCATACATTACATATATGTAATATATACATATATGTATATATATATACATATATGTTTATATGTATATATATGTATATATATATATATATGTTATATGTTATATAATGTGTGCGTGTGTGTGTGTGTGTATTTCTTCATACAAGATAGCATCCACTTGTTTGGGCTCGGCACCATAGCGACAGGCCCTCTTCCATCACCATTCCCCGTACTTGTAAACCACCGCGATCCGCCTCGTCGCCGCACATTAGAGCGCATTAGCATAGCCCCCCCCCCCCCCCCCGGCCGCCGCCCCCTCCTGCCACCCCTTCTGCTGCCTCCCGCGAACCGCGCTTTCCCATACACCGTCGCGCCGCCGCAACACACACCGCACTGGACGTTATTAGGCAGTGGCACGTCACGTCGTCGCCGTCACGTGGGGGGGGGGGGGGGGGGGGCACTGGGAGCGGATGGGTGGGGTTGGGAGGAACGGGTGGAGGAGGCAGGGTTGCTTGGAGGAGGGGAGTGGAGGGAGTATGGAGGAACGGTGGAAGGGAGGGGGTGTAAGGGGGGCGAGAATATTTATTAGAGAGGAAGAGGAAAATAAAAAAAAAAAAAAAACGACGTAAAGAAAGATGGAACTGGAAGAAACTTAGAGATACGATGACACTATTCTTGTGCGAAACGAGGGTCGTGTTTCGCGTGCCTGTTATCAATACAGGTTTCCGCAGTCAGGGTCTAAATAAGTACTTATATAGACCTTTTTCGCAGTCGGGGCAAATATAGATTTTTTTTTTTTTGGGGGGCTCTGGCATCGGTGGTGATGTGTGCGGGGTTCTGTATGAATATTCAGATCCTCCTCCTAATGGGCCCTGTGCGATTTCTATTCGAATGAGTGCCATAAATACAGAGTAGGTATTGTGGCACTCAATGGATAACGCAAGCCTATACTTCTACGACGAACGCAAACACAGCACATATTCACTTCTACGTAGACGCTGACGTATATTGTAAACCAGGTTCCCAAGAAATCGCCGTCGGACCTTTTAAAAATCGGAACAGGATTTTTTTGGGGACCTCGGACCTTTTAAAAATCGGAAAAGGATTCTTTTGGGACCATATCTGTAAATGTCTGTCTGTGTGCGTTCGCGGACATATAATACGTCAGGTCCCGGGCTTTGATTAATTTCCCAGGCGGAGTGAAGGATCCCGAGGGCAAGACAAGGCCTTCTTACGGTTTTCCCCCCCCTGGTGGAGGATACGAAAAGCGCCATCTTGAGGCGTCTTTCACTCGTCTCCGATGACGTCACAGCCTTCCGAAAACGTCTCGGCGAAATGGATTTTAAATGTAGAAAAAAAATTATGTCGGACTAATGGTATATCAGTTTTTTTTTTTCGTTTTGTTTATGAATAAGTTGAATCGTTGCAGCAAATCATGTGTAAAGCTATTTTCATTGTTTTTATTCTTGATTCATATTAAAGGAGCGGAGGACCGATATATTTTCCTTCTTACTCGTATAACTTTGACATTACAGTGTTATAGTGGCTTTACCTCTCAGCGCACATTGCCCCCTCAGCTCTAAAAAATATTATCGTATTAACATCACTCCAGCCACTCACTCGTCGTGTGGTTATCCACTCGTTGCACTCAGCGTGTGTGCTGCTTTGTATTAAAGGTATATAAATTTCTTCAGTATAATCTCATGAAGGTGTTACGTCATGGGTGGCGTAATGACTACTCTTAAGCGACCACAGCCACGCGTGCTGCTACTCGCAACGCCTCTCTTGGGCTGAGAGATTTTATCAGGTATTTACTAATATGATTGAGACAGGTTTGAGGTTGTTTGGACGGCGGAGAAGTGGCGAAGGATAGATTTCCTCCTGAAGTGTATGCCACGCGATCTTGGTTAAGGAATTATCATATTGTGGTCTAATTTTTGGTCTTGTTTGTATGTGGCTAGGCTTATGGAATTCATAGTAATTTATATTTGTGTGTGTGTATGTGCCTGTTGTACGTGTGTCTGTGCACTCGCACGATTGAAATTTGTGTGTGCACGTGTGTGTGTGTGTGTATGTGACCGCTATTTTGTGGTAAGTCATGTCGATCTGAAGTCGGTTTGCTCACGTTACCCGTTTGTTTCCCCGACAGAGACGGCAGACTGCGCGTGGGAGACGAGATCATCAACGTCAATGGTCGACGTCTGCGCGGCGTCACCCTAGAGGAAGCGCGTCGCATTCTGCGGCATACGCCCGCGGAGGTGGACGTCGTTGTGGCTCGGGACCCCGACGCCCCCGCCCACGAGTCCCTCTACTCGGACCTGGACGTGACCTCCATGGCCAGCGGGCGAGTGGACTCCCGGGTGGAGACGCGCGTGGACTCGAGGGTGGACAGCGTGGCCGACGACGACGACGCCTCCCTGGACGCCCTGCATCATCCGCACCATCACTACCACTCGCACGCCTTCCACCACGGCTGCCACCACGACCACGCCCACAGAGAAGAGGAGGACGAGGAGGACGAGGAAGACGAGGACTTCGAGAGAGACGAGCCTCGAGAAGACGATCCTCTCAACATGCGAGGCTTGGGTCGCCACCTGGAGTCCTGCCGCAGCCACCGGGGTTGCCACCGCGATCTCCCCGAGCTCCCGGCCACCGTCGGCGGCGCCCGCGAGCTTCCCGAGGACCCAGGCAGCGCGCGCGACTTCCACCACTGCTGCGAGCACGAGGCGAGGACGTACAACTCGTGTGACTCGCGAGGAGCCACCAGGGAGCCAAGGGACCCCAGAAAGCGACGGCGGCTGGACTCGCTCCGAGAGGAGGGCGTCGTCACGGCCGTCATGGTCCGCACCGTGTCAGACTCGTCGTCAGGTGAGAACCACGGACCAGTCATCAGCCCCGGAGGCCTTACACGTTCTTCTTTCTGCTTATGGTTCATCTTTTATATATTTTTTGCACAAATATTGCCTTATATAGAACCAGTGTGACTGATATTCCCTTGACCTTACAGCAGGAGAAGAAGAGCCTCGCCGGCTGTTACCTCTCCTTGAGGACGGCGTTTTCGACGAGCGGCCGTCGTCGCAGGCCTCGCAGGTCTCGGCCAGGACAGTCGCTTCCATGGCGTCTGTCGCGTCTGTTCATGGCACTGGCCTCACTGCCATGTCCAGACAGGTAAGAAGTCTTTCAATATAGAAGTTGCTAAAACACAAACAGTGAATATCCAATATACTGTACAACATGTGATACATTTTGATGATAAAAAAAGCTATTGGATATTTGCTTTCATTGTATAAGTTGTAAACCTGTTGGTTTTACCCCTGATCTCCCTTCAGTTAGAATGCATAATGGAAAATATACAAAGCCAAAAAGAAGGTATATACTACAAGTAACCAGTAACCAGTTATTTAAAAAATCATATTTCTCAACAGGTATCCCAGAGGTCACACAGGCCGTCATCCACATCTACACTGCCACGAAGGCCAAAGTCCCTCAACCTCTCCTTCCACACAGTTGTCTTTGAAAAGGGCCATGGCAAGAAGGGGCTTGGATTCTCCATTGTAGGAGGAAGGGACTCTCCGAAAGGAAACATTGGTATCTTCGTAAAGACAATCTTCCCAAGTGGTCAAGCAGCGGAAGAAGGAACACTTAAAGAAGGTATGTTTTTATTTTCAAGTAAAATTACAAGCTGATGTATACATGTAAGCCTTAAGGGATCATAAGGTTTCATGGATGAATTTCTGATTCAGGTAAATGACACTGGCAAAACTCTCTCTGTCTTTACCCACTTTTTAGCTTTACCTCATCATACTTGGTGGTGGTAAAAACATGCTGAATAATACTGAGTAAATAAACTTTCTTCATTCTTTCAGGGGATGAGATTTTTGCTGTGAATGGAGAGAGCTTGGCAGGGGCAAGTCATGCAGAAGCCATTGCCATGTTCAAAGCCATCCGCACCGGCAAAGTCGTGCTACATGTGGGCCGTCGTGCAACTTCAAAGAAAAGGTAAGTAGGTTAAATTTACCCAAGATATAAACAGTGAATAGGTTTGAGGAAAACAATCATATGAGTTTGTTATATTGTAAAATATATAAAGCTTCATTTTTCATGGCTTCCTACAATGGATAACATTCTTATACCAGAATTTAGGATATCTTAAAATATTTACAGTATATCCCTTTTACAAGCATGTGATAACAAATATAGAGTCCTACAAAAATGTTTACTAAATCTTTTTTTCTTTCTTCAGAGCCCACAAGACTAAGTCTTTTGATGACCTTGATAAATTTGAAGAATGAGGATGAACTGCCTGAGGATTTGACGACGTACCAGATGATAGGTGTAGCTGAAGGGATGAATGCAAATTTTTTGATAGGCTGTATAAATGTGTCCTAGTTATATATATATATAAAAATATCACCAGTTTAATCATAAATGTATTCCCAAACAGGAATGCAATAAGCCAAAGAAATCAGACAGGTAACTGTAATGTCATGTTGATTACAATTGCATAAAGCTATAATTAAGTGCTGTAAATGTTTGACTCATAATAAGTTTGTACAGATAAGAAATATTATCCATAAGCCGTAATTATTCAGAGATATATCAATGTTCTATGATGAGGGTTGTCCTGTTCTTGCTTTTGAGAAAAAAAATGGCATCCCACACCAGAGGTAATTATTAGAATGTAGGAACAAGTGAAACAAAAAATTAAACTTACATATTTATTTCTATAGTATATTTGCTTGTCTTCATAATTTGTACCATGTAAATAACTATGCCTCATGAGCCAGCAAACTAATATTTACACCTGCTGTTGATGAAATCTCTAAGATCAGTACTGCTCTTGTCATCATTGTGTAAATACTATGTATCATTTAAAAATATGTAGAAATGTGATATACATTTTCATCCTTACAACTGCACATTGTATGGATAGTAAACAGCTTTAATAAAAGTGACTTTTATTGGTACCTGTTACTTCTTAGACCGGGAAGGACATGAGTTTAATGCAAGTGTTCATTCAGATATATATGACTATCTGGCATGTGGCAAATGAACAAAAAATTCCATGATAATAAAGAGACTTTTACTCTATAATAAGTACTACCAATAGGAAAAGAGAGTGAAGAGATAAATATAATAAGTACTAAGACTAAAAGCAAAGATAAAAAAGAAAGAAATATATATTAATATAATTATGAATATTTGTTTGAATATTTGATTATGTTTGAACAACATACTTTCACGAGACAAGTCTATCCAGTCAGATTCAAAACAATCCAACCATCTAGGTGTTTTCCCGAACTGTGATTTACTTATAACAGATAATGTAAAAATGTATCACACTTTCCATAAAGGTTCTACATATATATATATTACATAAATACTGACTTCTGAATACTTTACAGAAAAAAATCAGTATATTGCATCACAATATTTAAAGTAATTTTCTCCATAGGTATGAAACCTTTGTAACTTATGGAGATGAAACTAAAAAATACCAAACCATATTGCAAACTTACCATTAAACTTGACTTTCTATGGTGAATTATGATTATATTTCATGACCGACTGCTTTAATGACTGTAACGATAAGTGTCTTTAATGATGACGATTTACTTTATCACTTAGTACTTTTTAACAGGGCATAGATTTAAGTGAATAAATTAACTATAAAAAAAAAAAAAAAAAAAATCTAATTATACACTGCATATCAAATTTAATCTGTCCTTATCTACAATATTTTGACATAATTTACAAAATCAGTAAAATCTGAAAAGGGTTTGATTTTCTCCACTTCAAAATAATTTACTAGATATGACACACCAAAATGCATAAGAGAAACCCACATGAAAACTACTACACACTATTAGTAACCATCACTGGAAGGCAGACTACAGAAAATATGCAAAGCTATAGAAAATTTAGCAGCTTCACCCCGCCCTTTTCTTCCTGATACAGGAATTAACAGATTGCGAAATGGGCGAGGCGATTCAACATCATATCACAAACCGCTGTAAAAATGAAAGCTTGTATCTTGTATCCTTCTTGTACTCAATCATTACCTTCTTGCTTTTTTCGCTTATTTCATCAACAATTTGCTGATATCCCACGTCCTCTTGGTTCCTCTTGGTTCCACGTCATTTCTCTTTCCTGCTGAGGATGTGAAGGTATTTTCCACGTGTCATTTCCTTTGCCTCTTCTAAGCCAAGCTGGTAAGCCACATTTTGGAGCTTCTTCACTTCTTCAATTATTTCTAGAGCCGTCAGTAACCGGAACTCTGGAATGAAAGGTGACTATGTTATTTTTCATAATTATCCCTAGTAATACATGGGGAAGAAGAAAAAGAAAGAAAGAAAAAAAAAAAAAAAAAAAAAAAAATGGAATCACAGTAAACTTGTTTAGAAAAACATGCAATATTATTGTACACTATAAAAAAAGACGGACTCGTTTTTACAATTTACCACAACCCAAAGCATTCCAACAACCTAACATGCATTTAGCAAGTGACAGCTTACAATAACTGATTTTTATCTTTAGCCCTAATACTCATGTGTAAAACCTTTATGTACAGGTACTCTAACTCAATTTTCATAGTTATTTCACACCTTTCTCTCCCTTTAATAGCAGGATCTCCTTTACAACCTTTAAAATGGACTTGCCTGGATTATAAGAACTTGTGACAGAGATGGGAAAAAGAGGAATTTCAACATATCCATCATCGTGGAAATATTTTATAACATTCTCCTACATCACATAAATCTTTTGTTCAACAAAGGTGATCTGAATTTAACATGTCAAAACATCTAACACTTAGAAATGTCAATAATACAGGATATATGCACTACCCAAAACTCCTTGAATATTCACAATCAAATTTTGACTGCGGAATACTTCATTTGAAGAGAATTCTCACTCATATTAAATGTACTAAATATTAAAATGCCAGCATGACAATACTCCTTTACTTACAAGGTGAATCCTTGAATGTGTACTAACGATGAATAAACTTAAAATACCTCTTATCAATCTTACCTTAATAAAATGTTTTTTTTAATCTAAAGTCAAAGAGTCTATCATTGTGTTTAACACATCTCTTCCCCTTATCTGTAGTGTCCAATACAATAAAATATATTGTAGTCACTAAACAATAAATATTCAACCATGAATAAACTTTGTAAAATAAAATGCTTATAACAGTTAACCAAAACTGCATTCCTATTTCTATATATCTTGTTTGTGTTGGTAGTTACTATCATACTGACACTATTTATGATAATTTCTATATTACAGGTATTTTTAGATAGCAATTTGTAATCTAAAAGCTTTTCTTCACCTTGAGTGAAGTGCCAAGTTTGATAAAAAGCAAAACCTAGTATTGTAAATATCCCCTTTGGGAGGAGGTTGTAACCAAAGTATATATTCAGTCTATAATGAGATATATGTCAGCATTAGCATCATGTCACTATAATCATTATTTGCACTATATCCCTAAAAGATTAATCTCTTCAAGACTCAGCAATTATAGATATCTTTTTTTATTTGCAAACAATTAATCAAGGACCCTCCTAATTTTCTTGATACACCTTCAAGAGTCAGATCACTGATTCCTGGTGGGCAGGGGAGAGAAGGGACAGAGAACAGCATGTCAAGACTTTTGCTGACAAGCTCAAAGGCCATTTCTTAATATATGACCTTTGCCCTGCCTAATAAATGCCAAGCCCTCTACACATGATTGCAGTTTGCTCTACAGTAAGCCAGACTGTCTCATCCTGATGGTTTGTGAGCATCCTGGTTGGGTATTTTGAGCATTTGTATCAGGTTGGAACACCAGTAATTAAGTCGCTGGTGGTGTCACAATCTCAGTCTTAGTTCCCTCCATCAGCAATTACTCTCCTAACCTAACCAACTAGAGGCAATTCCCAAGGACAGAAAGACAGTGGGTGAAAGCATCCCCACTGAACAGCTCAAGTTTGGTGGTGAACCTATGGCTCAGATTGCAAACCTTCATAGTGGTCACTAACCCAATGGATCCACGTAATGTTACTGTCACATGATTAAAAAATTTGGCTAAGGGTCAGGTGATGGGATACACTGTTATGGAAAAATCTGGCTGAGGGCTGAGATGATGGGAATCACTTGTCATGAATGTACAATGCTCTTAGAGGAAGATTAGACTCTGGTGGGCATTTAGAAAAGGGCCCTTGTATTATTTCCAACAGTAAACATGGATCGAGTGTACTATCATCCATTAGCCTTTGCTGGGAGAGAACTGGCTCCAGGGAGGACATGACTTCCATGCTCAGGTTTCTACACCTGTTTGCCATGACTGGCAACGCATTGTGTTACGAAAATTGAATAATACGAAAATGTAAAAAAATGGCACAAATAACAAAATGTTACTATTTTTTCATTTTATTGCAGAGAATTGCAGATTACCTTGAGATATGATATGGAGTCTGTTCAAGGAAAATATTCTATTACTATCTCAACACACCACATCAAATCACAAATATAAACCTTGGAAAATGGCATAAAAGCAGAGAAGGAGTCTTGATACCACACATGGATAGTTTGTGCTGGCTGGGCCTACAAGCCAAACACCTGGAAGAGTTGCCAGTTTGTGAGCCTAAAACCAGAATTTGGGCCACATGCAGGTA